GCCCTTGCCTTAATGGCCTACAACAACAACGTGAGGTTAGTGAAAAAATTAATCAATCCAAAATTGTCACTTTTTTTTCAATATTTAAATTTTGAAAGAAAATCGGTTTTTTCCTTCAATATTTAAATTTTGAAGGAAAATCGGTTTTTTCAACTATTTTTTTTTTTTCCTTTGAAAGTTTTCTTTTGTTTGATTTTTGAGATTAGAACAAATAAAAGTAATTGAACCTACACACATTTCGTACAACACATTTTTCTTTGCTATAGAACTCAAATTTAAAGTTTTGACGAAATTCCTCATTGAAATCCTTTTTACCACTATCTACCATCATTTACTTGAAACATAGATGTTTATAATCATAGGATGATTTGATATACATATTAAACTACTTAGCATGCAATACTCTCTGAACATTGTAAAAAAAATTATTTTATTCTTTTGCTTAAATAACATCTAACTCAGTTTGAAATGGATGATAGATCATATTTATTTACTGGTAGTGCTTATTAAAATATCAGAAAAATATATATATACCTTCAAAGCATTCTGATACCACTGCGCTGTCAGGTAGAGTTGAATACTCACGACTAAACATATTCCACCAAAAACAGCTGATGAAAAATAATTCTCCCCATGAAGCTCAAAAGCTATTACAAAGAAAAATCTTTACGTTAAACAAAAAAAAATTTTTTTTGCACAAAATCATAATAAATAGGATTAATGACCATAAAATGAAAAAGAAGGAGTTGAGAAGCAATTAATAGAAATACTAAGCATCAGGCAGTAAAACGGGTTTTGATATTTTCTGTACTTCCTTTATCACTAGTGATTAGACCGATTTCGATATTGTTCGTTGCGGGTGGTGATTCAATGTCATAGCTATAGCTTTAGTGCCGGCGCAGTTATCATGGATGAGAACCTATTGTAGCTTATCGCCGAGTTTAGGATATCGAAATTGAGCCAGCCACAAGAACCCATTTCCATGTCATGTAACCTTTTTTCCAAAAAATTTGAACCTACGTAAACTTCTTTTAGTGAGTTTATATTGATAGTATTTTTTTTTTAAGCGGCGCGTTCAATAACAACTTATTTCAATATTTATGTTTCAATAATAAAATTCACACTGCCAAAATATGCCTGAAAAACATTCGAAAAGTTTTTTTTATTTTTTATCAAATTAACATAACCGATTTAAATAAACTGTGTAAAAATATCACAACTTAATTTTGAATTATACGCATATAATTTTATGCCTTTTTAGTAAGAGCAAACCAATATCACAGTTTGAAAAACGTAGTACTTGCATATTATTAGTACAGCATTTTTTTTAGGAAAGCGATTATGTTATAAAGATTGCTTTTATTTCTTCTAGTTTATTAAAGTAAAACCTGCACTTCAATCAATTAGAGTATATTATTCCTATATTCTACATAGTGCTAGAGTATGCATGTAGGGTACTGTAAAGTAATGGTTATTCCTACACTAAAAGATCCCAAACTATTAAAATAGCTTTAAAAAATTTTTTTATATGGAATGTGTCAGACACAGACGGCGCTAGGGGTTAAAATTCGTTGAAAGACTTCCGGATTACTTACTTCCGATTGATTTTTGTGAAAGCATGCTCTGATGCAAATAAATAGAAAAATAACAAGCTGTGATATTTTACCTAATTATAGCCAAATAAGTGATACCAATCAAACGTGGCAAACCTTAAACTTTAGTTATGTTGTGATATTAATTTTATTAAAAATTTTTTAGGCCCACGACCTGTTAGAATTTCTAAATTACAGAAAACTCTTATGAAAGGTAAAATTTCTTGTAAATTTGAGCAAAAATCACAATAATAAAATTTACTAAAATATTAAGCCTGTTCACACATCGCCTCATAGAAGTAACATAAGCGGAGGGATACATTGCAAGTGTTCTAAATTTCTTACGGTTTTAGGAAGCTTGTTATTGTTTACATTCAGTCAACCATTTATAACCCTGTAATTTGAGATTGGTAACATTTCTAATCAAACACCTTTCAAGGAATAAATTAGACCGGGATAGCCTAGTCGGTAGGGCGCTGGGTCCATGTTCGTGGGTTCGAATCCCGCCGGCCGAAGACTCCCAGTTTAGTTGGTGACTGATGCCCGTTAAAATTCTGTCGAGTCGCAAAGTCCTCCATGTTCCCATAACAAATCAATACCTCTGGGGGTACTGGATTGGGGATCGATCGTTCTCTGATTCAGGTCAAAATTACAATCTGTGGATGAATGAATGAGTCCGCCTTATAAACAGGTGTGACGTATGGTGTGGCANCTTAGATTCTACTTACAGCTAGAGTATGCATGTAGAGTATTGTAAAGTAATAGTTATTCCAGCACTAAGAGTTCCCTAGCAATTAAAATAAATTATAAAATTTTTTAACATGGATGGTTGAGTGTGCAAAGCTAAGCACAGTCGGCGCTAGGGGTTAAAATTCGTTGTAAGACACTTACATTTCTAATCAGATACCTTTCAAGGAATAAATTGAAAGAAAAAAAATTGTGCAAAATATAAAAATTAGTAAGGAACACAGAAGAACAAATTAAAAAATTCACAAAATTCGTAAAGACATTTATGTAATAAAATTCATAAAGATAAACAAAATAAGAATCATAGGGCATATTTTCCGTTTAGAAACTATTATCCCAATTTTCGAACATAAACCAATTGGAAGAGAATTGCCAATTGGAATTGCTAGAGAACGTCCAAAACTTTGATGGCTGAACTCCAAAACGCGAATTTAAAACAAATAGGGTTTTGTTCTGGTAAGATCGGGTGACAAAGAGAACTGAACGGAGAAATATTTTGAAAGAAAACTCCTTCAAAATATTTCTCTATGCTAAGGCACACCCCGGGCTATTGTGCCAATGATGAATAAATAAGGAAACTGCATTCATATAATTCTCCACTGGTAAACATGGGGGAATTCGAATCATTTTTCTATCCTTAAATGGCATATAATTTTTTTAAAAATCTTACCTTGTTTTTTGAAAAATGCTAATATTGTGAATACACCAAGTGAGATTCCAGAAGATACACTCATTATCATGCCAAGGATTTTTAAGCCTTCCAAAGTACCAGTGTCGTGCACTTTTTCAAGTTTCGATAGCAAGTGAGTCACGAACAGTGATGCAGTACCAACAGATAAGCAAGCTGACGGGAAGAAAAAATAATTTCACATTTACTTTTCAGAAATTGAAATGGTTTGTGAATGAAAAAAGCAAGCCAATTTAGTATTTTTGTCATAAAAAGAAGGCTCTATAATGTTGTTGCTTCTAATCCCCCTCCCTAGAGATCTAACCCAGGACTCCTCAACTTTTTTTAATCGCCGAGGACTGGTCAACATTTGATTTTTTTTTTCGCGACCCTCTGAAGGAGGGCGGACGTCGATTGTTTATATTTTAGATGGTTTTGATTTTATAATTTTAATGTAATGTATTTAAATAACGCCTTCAAAACAAAATGCATTACATACGCCGGAGCCGCGGAGGGTCAGAGGATAGAGCTCTCACCTTCCAATAAAGTGAACCGGGTTCGAATACCTATGATGGCTGGTCGATATTAATTCCGAACCCGGCTCGCACCGACCACAGTGCTGACGTAAAACTATCATCATTGTTAGACGGATCATGGGTAGAGTACCCTAGCGGTTGGGCTAACCGTGAGATGTTTTCCTGTCCGTGTAACGCAAATTCGGGTTAGTTCTATCAAAAAGTCCTCCACAAAAGCATATTTCTCCCAATACTTGATCCAGGAGTTCCCTAGTCTTCTGGATTGGGTTCAAAATTGCAAGGGTTTCCATGGACAAAAGACGTTACCTAAAGCCGCATCAATACCGTGTATGTAATTTTATTCTATTTTATAACCGTCATTGAACATCCGAGTTCGACCCAATTTTGAGTTTACGACTACTTATGTTCTTCTCCGTAGCCTTGCAATTTTGAATCCAATCCAGAAGACAAGGAGACTCCAGGATCAAGTATTGATAGAGATTTGCCTCCGTGATTCAAAAGAGAAATGATCATGCTCCAAAGTTATTATCAAGGTCTTAAAAAAATCGATCCGTTTTTAAAATTTTGGCTTCAGTTTGCTGCCAACGATGAGTGTCTTCCGCACAAAACTCAAATGTTGAAAGGTTATACAATGAGGACAAAATATACTAATTTATGTATAAAATAATATTATATTGATATAGTATTTGGTGATTGTTAAAACTGTACCCGAAACTGAGCAATTTTAAAACCGATACTGTGGAAATAAGTGTCTTACATCCCCTTGAAAGGAGGATGAATCGTATAAAATTACTTGATAGTAGAAAATTTTTGACTATCATGAGTGGGCCACAAGTAATACCATCACGCCAAGTGATGCTAAATACAGTTAATCTCTATTCTGATGAGATAAACTACAAAAAACGTGTTTTTCTTAATATAATAATGTAAAGGCACCGGGGTGGGTAAAAATAATTATGAATAAAAAATGGAAATTATTTTTACTTTATTTATTAGTGGAAAAACCTGGCAAGTGACATTTTCAGAGAGGCTACAATCAAGGTAAGAAAAAAGTAGTCTCCAATCCAACTTTATTAGATTTACTAGAAGGCGAGACTAATAATTTTTCGCCTTATTTTATTTACCACTGTTTAATTTCAAAATAAAAATTATACAAGCATACTAAAAACTAATGTGAATAAATTATGTTACGATTAAAGTGAAAACAAATACAACTGTGTTACATTAATCATACTCATATTGAGGGAATCACTTTATTATTTTCACTGATCCATGAATAACGTTAAAAATGTCACTTACCTGGTTCTCCCACTAAGTACTTTAAATGCGTCGGAATATGCCTTTCAGTTTTGTTCACGATTTCGTAGTTTTGAGCTTTGTTCTGTACTGATTAATTGATTTTTTTATTCACCCCGTACAAAAAACGGGTATTCAGCTATCGTGTGTGTGTGTGTGTACATATATTATGTTAATGTAAAGTATCCATCCCCTGTAGGGGATGGATACTTTAAGCAGGACAATGCTCCTTGTCATATAGCTCGCATTGTCATCAGATGGTTCCAAGAACATGGCGGTGACTTTACCTTGCTTCGTTGGACCGCACAATCACCAGATCTCAATCCGATTGAGAATTTGTGGGATGAGATCGAATGGGACGTCAGACAGCTGGATTCAGTGTCATCCAATCTGACGGAACTGAAAGATCAGAAGGAGACTAGCTTTTGGTTTTAATGATTGAAATATGTTTTAGGTGTATTTTAAATGTGGTATAATAAATGAAAATGTTTTTTTTTTTAAACTGGTTTTGACGTTTTACAAATGAGCTAAATCACAATTTTTAATTAAATCTCTAGCAATTCTGCTAATTTAGATCCAGATCGCTTGGTCTGTTCGCTAACAAATATTATTTCGTAATACTCCAAATATTTTAACTCATTTATTACAGTCTCTCAGTGGTGTAGGGTTATATGCTTGGGAGTTTATTTTCTTTAGATTAATATTGATATTAATACACTGTTGGACCACCTTTAGTCGGCAAAACTGCTCGATTTTTTGTAGAACGTTCAATTCTACAAAGTCATTATTTAAAAAGAAAAAAAAAAACGCTTGTAAAGTAAAATAAATCTACTGAATGGAGATTTTATCTATTTTGATTAAACTAAAACTAAACTCAGCGGCGCGACAGCTCTTGAGAGCCAAGGCCTACTGTGCCCATCTCAGTTTTCTTGACCTTGGGCTCTGGGGTGCAGGAGCAGATGTTCCGGTCAGGTGGTCAGCCGAACGCGGAACCCCCAGTGTTTAGTTCCCAAGCATGCTTGGTTGATTAATCAAACTATACCATTATTTTAAGGCGGTATTGTGCCCCTCCCCCCCCCAAAAAAAAAACATTTCTACCCTACTACAATCTCTACTCTTGACACTGCGAAAGAAAGTACATTTTTTAATTGCATCTGTACTATTCAGAGGGTTTATTCCTTATTAGAAGAAATTAAGTAGTTTTTAGCATTTTTATTTTACTATAAATTTATTCCAAAGTTCATAATTCTGAATTTTCAAATAATATTAAATAGTAATATGCCTTATGAATTTTTAACAATGTAAAATAGCAATTTGTTAATAAAAATGGACTATTTAAAGTATAAATTGTTCATTAGAACTAATAAATAATTTCTGAATACATTATTTAACAATAAATTTATTACAAAATCGTTGCACTTTGTACACCAAATTCTGTTCATCAAAGGTTTTGTTAATAGTTTTACATTTGATAAAAAAATAAATAAATGAATGAATAAATAAAAAAATACAATCCATGATAGTTTCTTCCCGAATTCCCCCTTAAATTCTGGGTATATTAATAATTTGTAATGTTAGAAAATTAATTTTGTTGCCAAATGGCTAAATGATAATTAGTTTACACCCACAGGCAGTCATAGCATACATTCTCAATGTAAAGTAACATAATTTTTAACATTCAAAACTTTAAATAATTTACTGAACAAAGGCAAAATGGTAGCTTGTTTAGGAAACAAAGCAATGATCCATTCATTGTTCTTTTGTATACTCTAATTTTCACTCAACGAGGAGCAATGGCGGGAAACAATGCTTAAACATAAACATAAGGTAAACAAACATAAGGTTTTTCAATATAGAGAAAAAACCAATCTTAGCAAATTAGTTTCGGTTATCACTCTACGTCGTAAATACATTCGGAAATTTTATTTGGTAAAATATTTACATTTCACTAATCTATGTAATTCAAGAAAGAGTAAACAATGTTTAGAATAGTTCAGTTAATGTTTTCAATGTTTAGAATAGTTCAGATAATGCTTTCAATGTTTAGAATAGTTCAGATAATGCTTTCAATGATTAGAATAGTTCAGATAATGCTTTCAATGATTAGAATAGTTCAAAAGAATCTGAACATTTCTTATAAGAATGTCGGAAGTAACTTTCCTAATTTTCAAACTAATGTCGTAATATGTAAAATATTATAACCCAAAAAGTCACGAAATAATTTTAGATTTTTTCCAAAAGCCCTTTTAAAGTTTAAAAAAAAAATTATATTCTGAGTGTCCTTGATAGAATATTTTTCTTAAAAAAAATATTTTTCTTTTAATTTTTAATTAAACTAGGTAAAGTAGAGTGGTTGAATATTAAGCTCATTGACAAAAGTATTTACGCGAGCACGTGAAGGCAAGGTAAATTTTTTTGGGGATTACAAATTATTCCACAGCAATTCGCCATCGCAACGCTCGATTACGTCACCTGGGGAGGTGACAGGTTCTATGTCTTGACCCTTCTCCTTTCCCTCGCCTCCTCTTCTCAGATATTTCCCATTTTCTTAGTATTTTTCATATTTAAATGCCACAAATATTTTTAAATCGCTTTATTCTATAATTATGCTCAATGTAGTTTTCAATTCCATATAGTTTCCTTAACTTAAAAGCTTTTAATCTATTTGAAAATCAAGAGAGAAACTGACGTACTTCCTTCCTCTCTGACTCTCCACACGCTAATGGTGAAAGCATGCGAAGTGTTAGGAGTTCTGCTGCTCTACGCCACCTATAGCCCATTTCGATCAACAGTTGTGCAGTATTTGAAATTTAATTATAATGCATTTGATATATAATGAGAAAATAACTTTTACTTTAAATAAAAATTTGATTCCTTGCATCCAAAATCTTAAACCTACTATTTACAGATGATTTTAGTGACATGACAACTGACTCATTGCAGCATAATAGTAAAATTGAAATTTATCTTGCATACATCGAAAAATAAAATTTTATATCCTTACCTGCAAAGAATGATACAACAGCTGCGCTGTAGTTGCCATCTTCAATAAATATACTCGTGAAGGCACCGCACACTATCAAAGGTATGCAAGTTAGCAGAAGTAAAACATACAACAAAAACTTGGCAGATGGTGAATAAGAAATAACACAAGATGTCATAGAAATAGTAGAAAGAAAACTTCCACGATTGTGATTTGGATGTAAATCGAACTTAGGTTCGACTCCAGCAAAGGCTTCCAATTCATGATGTTCAATGACAGCTGATGTGCTTCCCTCCTCCATATTTTGTTTTCTTTAATCCCCAACCACAACAAAATTAAATAACATCAATTATTTAATATTCTTCGTTAGGGGTGGAAAGCGATATCAGCTGCTGTTATCAAACCATCCTGAAAAATGAGACAATGACTGTTATCAGAAGCTTTTGTTCCTACAACATGAAAGGTAATGAACTTGGACTTCAGGAATTGGAGCTGATATAAAAATAAACACACTTTAAAATAGTGAGTGCTTATAATTTTTGATTTCCATCAATGTGTCTACAAACCTCTCTAAAATTCTTTTGCTTCGAAGGAATTTGTTATAAAAAGTAAGAATTAACTATCACTTTTATTTCTTTAAAATATATTTTCTAGCCAATTATTAAGATGTAATCATAGCATGTCATGCAGTTAGCCTGAAGAGTTCGCAGAAGATGTGTTTTAATGGTATTTAACTTTGTTAAAATGGAACATTTTAACACACAGAAAACCAGCATGGATAGGATTTTTTAGAAACACTTTTTTCAGTTAAATTCATTTTGTGTACGTACGTTTGTAGATTCGTACGTTCTAGATTTATATGCAACACTTCGATATTTTTCGAACAAAAAGAATCCAAAACAGAACGTCATAAAACATCACTTATAATCTTTAAGCCTCTGTAGGTCCGACCACTGCGAGTCGAGAGTTAAAAGGCAGACATCATCATTTAAATAATTATCTGAAAGAGTGCAGTGCAAATAATAGGAAATTAATTAAAATTCCGCCACTCCTCTGACAATGAGTAATAGTGATAATTTTGAATTAGTAAGCATATTATACCAGTATTTTATAGAAACCCCAGCCACTGACTTTTGTTAGGTAAAGTATGAAATGCAATCATGAAGCAATGAGCATGGAAAAGAAAAAAAAATCCAAGATTGTAGTAAAAATTTTCTATCTATTACATAATATTTTAGACAGAATTTTTAACAACTGTAATACAAAAAGTATATTACACTACTAACTATTAAATTTAATTTGACAGCAATAGTTAATATTAAATAGATAAAATGTAATGCTTTTATTACGTTTGTGTTTTAAAATTCTTAGTTTTAAACAGAAATATTCAATAATTATTCAGAAATTGAATACCATTATCAACATATAATCCCAAGAAACTAAAGCGGTAAAATATTACCCCATTGAAAACAAATTAAGAATCGCTTCAAAAACAAACAAATACAAAATAACAGTCCAGACATGTTTTCAAGCTCTTAAAAAATAGGCCCCCATTTTCAAGACTGAATGTAAAGAAATAAAAATGATTTGATGTAAAAAACGTTTTTTATTTCAAATCATTTTTATTTCAGAAGATTGACTTAATCCTAATTATTCAAGGGGGTGATTTTTGCACACAATTATAAGATTCGTTTATCCTAACATAATTCCAGGCAAAAAATAGATTTTAGTAAATATTTATTATTATTTTATTTCAGTAATTATTTAGCAAATATTTATTATTAGTTTATTCAGAATTCATTCTTGAATCAATCGTCTGAAGATCAAATCATTAGATCAAAAGTTGTGGTCCACTTTTTATTTTGTGCACTGGTTCACTTTTATTTTGTGTCCATTTTATAAATTAGTTCTCTACCTAAATTTTAAACTACAGTTTTAAAATTATTGTAAATTTTAAAACTACAGTTTTAAAATTTATGTATAATCAAAAAAGGAAAGAGTTAGGTGTTTGGAGAGTCTAACAAAAGAAACATACAGATGAGATTTGTATTTATTACATTTTATAACAACTAGAAAGTAAAACACTCTTTCAATGCTTAGAACAATCTATGAACACTATACACATACTTTTATGAAAATTCATTTTTTTAAAAAAAAATTCAACACAGAACATATAATATTTTCTTATACAAACAGATCGAAATATCACATTTGTTTCTGATGCTATTTTCAAAAAGAATTTAAGAGATAATCACAGACATTTTTGTAATGCAAGATGTTAATGCATTTCTATATTTTATGTTTTACACCACATTTTATTTTCCAAACTCTACATTGTTTCCATTACTAAAATTTCAGCTTTGCTTTCCAACACTCTATGAAATGAAAACTAATTAAAAATTAAAATATACTCTGTTTAAAAGAAATCAGCAGCCCAAGGTTGAAAAATTGCATAGATGGATATTTTTTTCATTCAAAATTCATGTTTTTTTCTATTTTTAAAAAAAAAAATCTTTTTTTACAAAATGTACAATAACAGAAATACAAGTTTTAGAGGAAAAGTAATAAAATACATTAAAAAAGGAGAGAAAACTAAATTTAAACTGCATAACATCTTTTAAACAGAGTATAAATATTCACAATATCATGCTAGTTTTAAAAAGCATGCATTTTAAAAACTCATTAGTCATTTTATAAGCGTGCACACATGTAATAAAATCATTTGAAAAAGTATATTCACTTTAAGCATGCTTTTATGATTAAAAACACTTTAAGCTCATAATATATTTACAAATCTATACTACAAAAACTAATTATAAAATATATACACTTAAATCAATAAATAATATAATATCTAAATTCGTGTAACTTATTTATAAGTATACTAATCTATCTGTACATAAGCCGGAATAAAATGTAAATAGCAACACTTATTTATAAAAACTTTAGGTCTAATTACCTCACTTAAAAAGAAATTTTGTCCATCTAAGTAAATGCATAGTAAGTGTTAAAAAATATGAAAAACTAATTTTAAAAAAAAATTTTTGTAAAGGGGAAATTTTCTAGACATTAAAAATATTAAATCTAACTTTAAAACACACATAATAGCTATAGCTAATGATAGCTTTACGAATTAGGCATTACGTTGCATTGCTGGCTGAAAACAATTGAATATCTTTTAACACAGAGTAAAAAATAATCATTGATAAGTTGCAGATTGAAGTTAGAAAAATTTAAAAAAAAGTAAGAAAGTTATACGGAGAAAAGTGAAAAATTTCAAAACCTAAGGCTTTTCTTTATAGATCCTAGAATTTTTAGAAGCAAAGAATAAGGCTAACAAGGAAGAGTCATTCTCCAATTATATGGACTACCTATATGGTTACATTTAGACAATTATAATTTTAAAATTGCATAGAATAAATTCATTACCTACAACAGTTTTGTTAAATTTAAAATAAAGCACTTTAATTGCATATAGGACAAATTATTGATTTTAGGAAGCCTGTCCAAAACTTAATTGTTATTATTATTACTTTTTTCTTCCCTGTAAAAATTCTCTGTTTAAGTCTTCTATTTTTGACATTTCTAAATCTTATTTACAAAAAATATTTCAAAATTGCATAGACAAAAGAATCATTTTAAAATTATATGAACGAAATATTTAAAGTATTTTAGTTTTCATATATTTAAAATAAAGCATTATAGTTGCATGTAGGACAAATAATTTGTTATTAGAAACTTCTACAAAATTTGATAGATATTAATAATTATTCTTTCCTTCTCCAATTAGGCCTATATGTATAAAATTAAGATATATTTACAAAAATAGATAAGTATAACTTTAAAATTGCAAAAAATCAATTAGCTACATACTACAGTTATTTTAAATAAAGCAGTATAATTGCATAACGAACAAAGTATTTCTTTTAGGTAGCCTCTCCATAACTTAATTGCTAGTAATATTTCCTTCTTTTATCAATTCAATTTATAAAACTTTTAAAATTATATTTCCAAAATAACACATGAGTATAATTTTAAAATTGCATAAAATCAATTGTTTACACACTACAGGTTTGTTGAGATTTAAAATAAAACACTGCAGGAAAAGTATTTTGTTTCAGGAAGGCTCTCCAAAATTTAATTAATAGTATTCATATTTTTTTTTCCTTCACTGATTAAGTCTTCAATTTATAAAGTTTTTAAACTATATTTTCAAATTAAGACAAGTACAAATTAAAATTTGCATCAAATTAATTTGTTATATACTAGAGTTTTGTAATATTTAAAATGAAGCACCATAATTGCAGATAATAACATTAATTTTAAGTAAATTATTTATTTAAACTATTTATTTTGGGAAGTTTCTCCAAAAATTAATTGTCATCATTATTATCTTCTTCTTCACTGTAAAAATTCCCTGACTAAGTCTTCTATGAATAAGACTTTCAAATCATATTTATAAAATAAATCACAAGAATAATTTTAAAATTACACAAAATCAATTTGTTACATACAAGTTTTGGTATGTTTAAAATAAAGCACTATAGTTGCATATAAAACAAATTATTTGCTTTAAGAAGCCTCTCAAAAATTTAATTGCTTTTAATATTACTGAGTCATTTTTAGATTAAGTCTTTTATTTATAAAATTTTTTAATTCATATTTCCAAAATAAGACACAAATTAATTTTAAATTTGTTTAAAATTAATATGTAACACACTACAGTGTTAATGCATTTAGAATAAAGAACAATTGTTACATAGAGAACAAATTATTTGTTTTAGGAATTTTGTGATTAAGTCTCCCATTTATGAAATTTTTAAATCATATTTCTGAAATAAGTCAGAAGTATAATTTTAAAATAGCATAAAATCAATATGTTACACACTACAGTTGCATAGAAAATAAATTATTTGTTTTAGGAAGCCACTCCAAAATTTAACTGTTATTAATACTACTTTTTCATTTTGTGATTATATCTCCTATTCATAAAATTTTTAAATCATATTTCCAAAATGAGACAAGTATAATTTTAAAATTGCATAAAATCAATAAGTCACACACGACAGTTTTAATATAATTAGAATAAAGCACTATAGTTGCACAGAGAACAAAATAATTGTTTTAGGAAGCCACTTCAAAATTTAAGAGCTAGTAATATTATTTTTTCATTCTCTGATCAAGTCTTTGATTTATAAAATTTTTAAATCATATTCCCAAAATAAGACACAATTTTTTTTAAATGATATGGTATGTTTAATCTTCCTTTTGGTGAGTTAAACTTCTAACTTATACGATGGTAAATCTATAATAAAATAAGCAGCATCGGAATAGACAACAAGTAATAAAAAATAAAGGCTGTGTATTTAGATGCCATGGATGTGTAACATGGTGATATTAGTGTACTTATCCATTTCAGAGGGTGGTTCACAGTTTACACAGTTTTCATTACCACAGTACTTAAAATGGCGATAAGCGTAGTACCAAATTTGATTAAGAATTACTGGTGTGAATAATAGTTAGGCAATTATTTATGGCCTTTGAAATAG